TGTGACTGCGAAACGTTACGCTAATATGTAACAAATATGCATGTCGATCATCCAATCAAATTTAAGCCCGCTATGCTAGCGAAATGCAATTACGTAGCAATTGGCTATGCAAATATTATTTACAAATTTTATTGAAAAATAAAACAATATATTTTTGAACTGATTATTGAAAGAAACTTCAAATTGAGATCGATCGGTTTGCTGGCATCAGAAAATTGAATAATAACATTATTCGTAATTTGCTATTATACTTTACAGTCTTTGTAGTTGCAATGGCACTGATACTTCTCTTCAGTTTTCGATTACTTAATTATGATGGTTATTTTTTACTAGTGTCATTTGTTCCTTTTCACTTGTTGGTTCTGAGATGTAGGCATTTAATGATTCTGATGCATAGATATTTGTTGATTCTGATACATAGACGTTTGTTAATTTTGAGGTATTTGTTGGTTTTAGGAATGAAATCGAAATTCGGAATCATGCGATTTTTGGTAATGTAAACCTTATCTGGGTTGTAATTGATAAATTAAAATAATGTAAATAAATAATTGAAATTACATTAGCGGATGTTATAGTTGTATAATTAAAAGATTCTTGATTTTGGTTCAAAATAGTATTAGCGTTAGTGCTGAGGCTTTATTATAAATTCATCTAATACTTTTTTCCTTTCTAAACTGATCAACATGGTGAAGCCATTTGGATATGTGTTTTTTCTGTATTTGTAACATAGGAAAAGTTTATAAATTGTAGCGCTTTAGAATCGTTTATCATTAAAGTTCTATTCGACATATCAAGAAGGAGTTACTTTAAATTTACTGCGCGAAGATAAATCATATTTATAACAAATCAGTAATTACGTTATCTATCAACTAAAACTTTATTTTTACACTAAACGATTAATATACTTCATTATACTTTTAATTAATTGCACCCGGGTACGCACGGGTTATTACGTCAGACCCGTATGATAATATAGTAATTAGTTACACCCAGAGATCCTTATAATAATTAGAGCTTCTAGAATAACCCGAATATTGTATCAATCTTTAATCTTAATTTTTTCTCTTCTATCACTAAAGAATGATTTTTTTCCTTGCATGTAATTTAGTATAATAATTTTTGAATAATTGTTAAACTTTAAACATACTGTATCTGTTTTATTAATAATGATTAGTGCAAAATACATATTTTTTCATAAATGTAATGGCACTTTTTTGCACATTTTTTAATTTATATTGGGCAATTGCACTCTTTGTACATCCTCTAATCTAAATTGTAAGAGAGTTCCACCATCGACTACAAGCTCAATCCCAGATATCCAACTACTAGCACGCGAAGCTAAGTATAACGCCGCTCCAGCCATGTCTAACTCACCTCCAACGCGACCTAAAATAAATAAAATTTATGTAAATTTTGAGTAATAAAAGTAATATAAAATTGTAACGGGCAAGATTTAATGTTTACTAATTACCTTGAGGAATTTCACTAAGACTTATATCATCAAGTTCAGCTATTCTAGTCGATACGGGAACATTACCGGGAGCCAAGACATTGACATTTATTCCTCGTGGGCTAATCAAAAAAAAATTATATAGTTTTTAATTTTTCGATATGAAGATAATAATGATTTCAAGAAAATGATTTCATACGTAAGATACACAGCTAAATTCTTAGAAACGCTATGTACGGCAGATTTGGATGAACTATAAGCTAGGGTACATAATCCAAGTGCTTGCACTACTTTGAGCTCGCCTGCACCGATACCTGATTATGTAAATTTGTTAATATGTATCACTATTATCGTTAAGAGAGAATATAATGTAACCATTTAAAGACCGACAATACCAAGAATGCTTCCGGTTATGATAACTCTTGATGGATCAACCAGTTTTTTACTGGCCTTTTCAAGTAATGGTAAAAAGCTAGTATATATATAAACCCTTAGCGCGTTAGCTTACAGTAGATCAATATTTGTTGCTACAAAAAATATATGAAATTACTTACGCCATCGTTAAATAGAAAACACATTTAACATTTAGGCTATAGATTTTATCCCACGCATCCTCAGGAAAATCTGTCAAACCAGCATCATGCCCAGTAGCAGAATTATTCACAAGAATATCGAGTTTATCATTTCCTAAATTTTTGAAATCAGTAACCAATTTCTCGCATGCATCT